AAAAATGAACATAGGCATTCGGTACCTTTGGGTCTTTGGTGTTCTGTTCTGATCAGGACAGAATATACATTTGAAACACGAGTGTCTCAAAATGAGGAACGCTGTGAAATTTTGCTCGTAATTTGTTCCTATAGTTAGTCGATTCTTTTTTTCTAATCTTGCGATTGCTGGGCTGGGTTGTTGTCCTTCTGTTAAGTTGCCCTGCTGAAGGGCGGATAGCAACGGCACTTTCCAAGACTTTCTGGAGAGAGATTTAATGTATACTCTCTATATATGTGCTTGTAAACCATTCCTGCTGGGAGAAGTTCTTGATTCTCTAGCTAGTGGGGAGGGGGTGGTAAGAAAGTCAAAGTAGTTGGGAGTCTAATGTTTGTAGCAGAGCCTTTGTGAAGAAGCGTTGAAACCTGCTTAAATGAAGCGATTTAATTTCTTTTCTTATGAAGGAAATCTTTACAGCTCTTTTTAAAATTTGTTTCTTTCATTTTGATGCTTTATTGACTGTGCATTTGACTTTCACAATTAGCACTTTATTCTCTGAGGGTAATCATTATACTTTGTTCAAATCGTGAATGTCCTCATTTTTGTTTTGAATAAGATGTCCTTTAATTATTAGCCTTTGAAAACCACTTCCCTCTTACACATCACACATGACTGATAATGCAGAAAGACAGGGAAGGAAAGAGCCCTTCACACACTCAGTCACGGTGGTGAGCCTGCTCTACCTTTAGCAAAGAATGTACAAACGTGATTTTCTAAGCCGATAGAAGCCATCTTTTCTAAGAGGACATGAGACTTCCGAAGCATATTTAAAAAGGAGAGATTTTAAGACACGCTATCTGTTGAAGTTTTGCATTAGAAGAGAATGAAAGGGTCAGCTAGAGGCATGGCATGCCAAAACTATTTCATGCTTTCTAACAACAAGGGTAGCCACTCTGGGCTGACTTAGTTCATGTTGAAGCCAAGTATAAAACTTCACAGAGAGTAGTTTAGAGCCTTTGAACAAAAGAACAGGGAATTAGTTCAGGGAACAAGTTAAACCATGGTTATACATTGAATACGCCCTCTCCAAGAAAATAGTTTTAAAAGTCTATTATCTGTCCACACTGAAGACCTGAATAAAAGCACAATAATACAGAAAACAGTATTTATGCATGACATTTTGTAGAGTTCCTAATTCATGTGTTATACATACATTCTTTTGTATTATACTTTTCTTCTCAAAAAAGAGAATCCAGTTCAATTATGGAGGATGGAAAGGGTTTTTTCTTTTGGTAAGGATGATTGGCCCTGAGCTAACATCTGTTGCCAGTCTTGCTCTTTTGGCTTAAGGAAGATTGTCACTGAGCTAATGTCTGTGCCAATCGTCCTCTATTTTATGTAGGATACCACCACAGCATGGCTTGACAAGCAGTGCTAGATCTATGCCGGGGATCTGAACCTGCAAATCCCAGGCCCCCAAAGTGGAGCTCTCGAGCTTCACCACCACACCACCAGGCCAGTTCTGCAAAGATTTTCTTTTACATTACAATTCTTTTTTTCTCCCCTTTTAGTTTTCTATGACTTTGCAAGGGAAATGGTTAATCTGCTAATAGTGAGAAGTAGAAACTGATCCTCAATCCCTTTGCTTACATTGAGGTAGCTTTTCACCTTTGAGGAGGTAATGAAGTTGCTAAACTGCACACAAGTCGTATTACTTCATACTTAAAGACTAACAAACAAGTTGGCAATCCATATGTAGTCATTCTTACTACATACCATCTGAGTAAAACTTCCAGGGCCTTCCAAGTTGACACTGGGATCCATGAATGAGAGAAATCATGAAAGTGCGCTTGAAAAGTCGAATCTATTTGTCATGGTCCCCAGATTCTCAAATTGGGAGTCCTGCTGTGATTAGATTTCTTTGTTGTAGCCACTGCAATGACCCCCCCTTCTTTTACTTCATTCTCATATTTTGATGTCTTCCTGATGTCCCCAGTCCTTTACCCCAGGGAGAGAGGAAGAACAGACAGCAGAGCATTCTTTCCTTCCCTTGTGGGAACTGGAAGAGGGAAATGAGAAGGGGAAAGAGGCAAGAAGGAACTGGTTCTAAGACATGCCTCTAGAAGTCCAGCTCTGTCCGACCACCACAGCATAGCCAGGCATGCGCACATGGCACTACTCAGAGCAAGGGTGTTTAATATCAATAATATCCAATTTGGAGAGGCAGTTTAGCAGAATGGGTAAGAGTGCGAACTCTGGAGTCAGACTACTCAAGTTCAAACTCTGTCCATAAAACTTATTTGCTGCATCTCTCCAACTCAGTTTCTTCATTGGTAAAATGGATGTAACAGCAGTGCTTTCTGCACGGGAAGCACTTATGAGGCTCAGTGGAGACAACACATATGGCACCACCCCAGGCATGTGGTGAGCCCTTAATGAAAGCTGGGCATTGTTATTGCCTATCGAGCTCCTACTAAGTGCCAGGTGCTTCCCATGAATCATCTGCTTTGATTAATACAACTCTCTGAAGTGGCTATGATTATCCTCCTGTTATAGAAAAGACTCAGGGAAGTTAAAGAACATTTCCATATACCTTGTTAGTAGCCAGCCAGGCCTTGTGAGACTGGATCATCCCCCATGCAAAGTGAGATCCATCTGGGTCAGATCTGCTACAGCAGTTCCATGGTACGCTTGTCTGAATCTTCATGTGAACTTTTAGTGCCAGAGCCAACCCAGGACTGGTCCGTCTTCTTGAAGTGGAAACACGGAACACAGATGATAACTCTGTGGTTCGGGCATTATTGTTATGCCCATTTCATAGGAGAAGAAAACTGAAGATCAAAGAAATTGTATGACACTGTCCACGCCACAGAGGCCCACTCACACCGCTTTTTCTAACTGCAGACCTCATGCTGTACCCGTGATACTGCCATTCCTGCTTTCTCTCAGGGACTATTGATCAGTACTCCTTGCAATTCCCAGATGCTCCCCCAAAAGAGCCTCCTGAAGACTAGCCAAAGTAGGCCCCAAGGAAGAAAGGAAAGTGCACGCTCCCTTTTCTGCCCCCTGAGGTGTAGGGAAAGTTGGTTTCAAATGTCCAGTGAGGAATATTTTTACCGTCTTTCTGCCAAGAGATGTTATCAATGAAAGTATTCAGTGTCTAGGAAAAATCACTGCCTCTGAATAGTTTAATTTACAGGCTTTTTACAAAGATAAAGACTGGTTATCTACACTGCTAAGCTCATTTCTGTTACAAAGATGGAGCCACTAACTTTTCCTACATATTTGAGAAAAAATTCTTTGAGAATAGACACTGAGGCTTTTTTCATGCCCAGCTGACGAACCAACTGCAAATGTTACTTTTGTGCAGGGTGCAGGGGGCCACCTGGACCCGAGGGTCTCTGAGGAAGGGTGGGTACTCCTTCTCAAGTGGACAACGCATAAACACTCAGAAATTACGCGACCCGATTGTGACCATGACTGAAACAGGATGCAGTTCCCTCGTGCCCCTCAAGCATCCCCATGTTGCTACTTTTAAAATGTGCTTTGTCATGAGTCTGAGACAACTACTGCCTTCAGTGCCACATCCTTGCGTAGACTCCGTTGTGAGAGAAGAGGGAGAGGCGAGATGAAGGGGTTGAGGGTAACCAGACTTTCACACAGTTTATACAGACCTTTGGGTCCTTGGCAGAGTCAATAGCAATTACGGCCAACAAATGGGGGCTTGTCACAGTTGACACCAGTCATTGAGACAGGCCAAGTAAACAGCTCGGTTGTGCTTTGGCCCTGTATATTTTAAGAGTATGAATTTAGCCCTGATGCTGGGTTAGAGAGAAGATGATACCATATAGAAATAACATGACAGGTTGCTCTGGCAACTTCCATCTTAAATGCTTACAGAAGGACTCTTCTGAGTAGCCAACCAGATTTTATGGGAAACTCCTCTACTATTTCAAATGCTGGTCAAGAATGGGGTAAAGGGAGCCTGATGGCCTAGTGGTTAAATTTCCGTGCGCTCTGAGTGGCCCAGGTTTGGTTCCTGGGCACAGAACCACACCACTTGTCTATCAATAGCCATGTTATGGTGGCAGCTCACACAGAAGAACTAGAAGGATTTACCACTGGAATATACAACTATGTACTGGGGCTTTGGGGAGGAAAAAAAATGAGGAAGATTGGCAACAGATGTTAGCTCAGGGCGAATCTTTCCCAGCAAAGGAAAAAGGAGATAAAGGGATGCAGGATGGACACGCTGTTTCGGAACAAAGATGGTACAGTTTTCCGGAACTTCCTTTATCCTTCTGGGAACCCAGTTGCAGAGGCCAGACTTCTGGGTGGACGGTCCCAACAATGTCCATTCTAGGAAGCTGTATTTGCTGTGTTTAAAGCATGTGGGATGCAAAATAATGTGCTCTCCTACTTCCTTCCAATGGCATTACCTGTGAAATTTTGGACTTCGATGAAGACATTTATCTTCCTTACGTTTCCATTTCCTTTTCTTCCTCTGTATTTAAGCACTGCTAATTGAGATTTTAGAAAAAGCATGGTGATGGATTAGGGCTCTTGAGTTACGGAATTCCCTCACCATTTTTCTTTCCTTCTATGAGGAAACTCTAATGGAAGTGTCAGCCATGAAAACTTTATACTTATTTAGACAGATTTCTTCCCACCACTGAATCCTTGTTATCTATAGGATTACAAACATACTACTTTGTATTTTTCATTTTCTCTGTAAATAGCATTTCCTTCAAAAATTATTATGAATTTTTATATTCTTCCATCACTAACTTTTTTTATGATGGTCATTTCCTTTAATTCTCAATATTACAATGTTAAATAACCTAATCAGCAGATTCTGGGAGTAATTGATTTTATTATATGCAGCATTTATGTATGAAGTAACCACAATTTCAGTTCAGTTTATGAGACAATAGTCTATTATGTGATTATGAAGTTTTGCTTCCTAGTCAAAAAATACTTAAAGGTTATATTCACATTTCCTCTTCTTTCTTTTTTTTCAGGCTCAGAAATCCTGGATAGAAAGAGCATTTTATAAAAGAGAATGTGTTCACATCATACCCAGCACCAAAGACCCCCATAGGTAATCTTGCCTTCTTTATAATGCAGCAAGAACATGAAGTAGCAATTATGGGAACAAACCCACAGTAGTAATCACCAGCCATTGCAAGGGAACCAATGTCAAATTAAAGATCATTTTTTTATTGTTGCTGGACATCTCTGAAGCAATCTTATATAAACACACCACATAATATGTCTTCCCTGCAGTTAATTCTCTACCAGCCTGTGCAGAATAACAGATACACCATCAGGGAAGGAATGGGTTTCACATATTTTTAGTATGGGTACTGGTTTTCCCTTTTAAGCATTTCATCAAAATGCTTAGTTTGTACCAACACGCTCTGCTATCGTGAAAAAAGATTTTTAAATAAAAGACTCTGGCAGATTACTAATTGGACTGCAAACCTTCAGATTCCTATCCAAGCACATGTTTAGAATCTTCTTTACCTTCCTGACCATAAATAGTATATAAGGTGGGAAGCATTTGGGATAAAGTAACATATATATATATCTGGAAATGTCTTTATGAAAAGGCAATGTAATAAAGCAGTTTAAAATATAGACTGTAGAGCCATGTAGGCTAGCTGTGTAACCTTGAGCAAGTTACCTAACCTTCAAAACTACAATATTTTATCCGTAGAACGAATGTCACTTGTTAGTATTTAGCAAATGATAACTGTGTGTCGATATTATTACTAATAGTCATAATAGTGGTAAAGTATGAAGGACATTTTCATGATGTAAGGAGTGAATTTTGTTTTCAAATATCCTGTAAATAACTTTTTCATTGTTTCTTCAAGAACACTTAAGCAGCAGATTTTTATTCTTGGAATTGGATATTTGACAGTGAATGTCAATTGGCAAAAGACAAGTTAGGTTGTGACTCGCATATGAGGGAGATTCTTTATTGAAATGTGCATGGTAAAGTTCTTCCCTCAAAGCTGTTCAGTGTCCTTCATGCAATATTTGATAGATGGGAGGATGACAAGTAGGAAAACCTACAAGGCTTTTGTTTGCAGGTTCCAGTCCCGAGCAATAATGGCAGGTGTGAAAGGGGTGGGTGGAGAAGGACAGGAGGCATGTGACAGCTTATACAGCTAGAGGAAAATGAGGAGGGGGCAGAAAAGAAAACATATGTATGTCCACATATGCGTGGACACACAGCCACATTATGGGATTCCACCTGAAAATTGACTGACTGGCTTGCTACACTTTGTAGATTTCTCCAGCAGTTTACTTCAAGCGTGTATTCCAACAGCAGTTAACACAAGGAGTTCACTTTGACCTCTTATGTTATAGGTGTTGCTGCGGGCGTCTAATAGGTCAGCATGTCGGCCTTACTCCCAGCATCTCAGTTCTTCAGAATGAGAAAAATGAAAGTCGCATCTCCCGAAATGACATCCAGTCTGAGAAGTGGTCCATCAGCAAGCACACTCAACTCAGCCCGACAGATGCTTTTGGGACCATTGAGTTCCAAGGAGGCGGCCATTCCAATAAAGCCATGGTAATCAGAAAACTGTTCAGTCACTTCCCGAAGTCTGTCTCGAGTCCTGCAAGGGAGTGGCGAAGAGTTGGAGATTTGATCTTTTGGCCAGATCCCAACTCTGCCAGTTCCTGGCTGGGTGACCTGCCCTAATTACCTTACCTCTGTGCGTCTGTACTCTTCCTCTGTAGAACGGGGCGAAGAAAACCTTCCTTCCAGGAGTTTTTGCATAATTAGTCTGAGATCAGACATAGTAACTATTATTGTTAATAATAGCAAGTAGATTTCTATAGTTATCCACTGTTTATTATGTTACTTTCTGGGTCTTATTTATTAACACGTTTTTAACTCCTTTGGTAAAAAAATATCTTACCTTTAGGTCTCTCTTGTGTTCTTTTGGTAAGTAGCGTTTCTCTCAATTCAAGGTAGAAGTGATCATCTCAGACTATGTTCTTCCCTGTTCTAACAGAGATCCTGCATGCAAATTGTGTGCTCCTTCTCTAAGCAGCTGTGTTCAATAATGCTCTCAACAGAAGAGCTCCGTGTGAAAAGCATTTTCCTTTTTTTGGCAAGGAGGCTTTAGGAAATACACAAATTTTACTTCTAAGAGTTGTTGCTTCTCAATTTCACTTTTCATCACGGACCTCTCCCTTCTCGGCTGACAGATTTTTGCCAGGAGAAAAGTATACCATGTGTTTTTGGAAATTCTAGAAATGCTATATTCCAGCAAGCTCGCTTCTAACTGTTAGACAGAGAGAGAGTGAGTTGAGGGTGGAGCAGTTGGAGGTGGTTGTCCCAGGCATGCCACGGAGTTTTCTGAGTTTAGAGGGGGAATTTTGCTTAGAGAAGCATACTGCAAAATGCACGGGAAGTCACTTCACTCCAGTTACAGTCTAAAAACGGGCAATAAAGCCGCCTCTCTCGTCTCCTTCCTCTCCCCTCTCCTTTCCTCCTATCCTTCCACCCCCACCCCACTGCAGTATTTTCTTCACCAAGAATGGCTGACTGAGGTATTCTCATAGTCCTTCCCTAAGACAATTAATTCTGAGCTATACATTAAATTAAAACCAATTTTGAGCAATATATTGGAAAGAAGAGAATGCTCTGTGTAACCCCCAGCAAGGCCTGGGAAAACAAAGAAAGGGTTAGTTAGTCTTATCTTGGACAGAACCAAGGGAAATGGAGATTTGGCAACGTCCTCAACCCTTAAGGGATCTATTCACCCACACAAGATCTTGAAGGGTCCCCAGCTCAGCACAGTGCCCCTTCACAGAATAGGATTGGACCATACGCAGTATGGATCCTCTGGGACCCTGCGTTCGTGAAAAGTCACACAAGTTCTGTCTATAAGAAAAGTGCAGCAGATGAGGCAGTGGAGGGTGGGCAGTAGTCATCACAAGTTCATGTGGTGACACTGTAGGTGCTTGAACGGTACCCACACACATTGTGCCACAAGCCTAGAGGCACATGGTAAGCTTCCGGTCATCATTTCCATTGTTAACATGCAGCATCTGTCAAATATGGAGCATCAATTTGCTCATGAGTGAGCATCCCTCCAAAGCCATCTCCTGGAAGATTCCAATTACCATGATGCTGCCAGTGCCCAGAACGTGTTTGGGAACTGATTTCAGATAATTTATACATCACAAGAGAAAAGCAATCTATGTTTGCATCAAATGATGTTTTTGACCAAACATTAATCTCAAGGACCTGAAATTCAAAAAGCTTAGGGCTTAGTCGCAGGCGACTTCTCCTAATTTTTAAAAATCAGGTCTATTCTCAGAAGATAAGTTTTCCACCACTAAAACTTCTAGAAGAATGGAGTACTAGTTTGGTAGTGAAGAGAATGGATTCTGGATGCAGATGGTCTAAGTTTGTCCCAGAACCATCATATATTTGCTGTGTGAACATGGGAAAAGTTAATTAAATTCCCTGGGCCTCAGTAATTTATTCTATCTAGGAATAATAAATACTACCATCATAAATATTAAATGAGATGACATAAGTAAATCATTTGGCACAGTGCCAGAAACATAATAGATGTAAAATTAATTTTACTACTGTTTTTACTACTATCATCATTATTATTTGCGTCAGGCTCTGAAAATTTTTTTTTTAATAATTTGAAGGACACATATTTGGATGCACATCTTGGTATAGTCTTTTAGAAAGCCAAATTATTCTTTTTCAGTTAACCCTTTAAAATAATTCCAGAAGTTCTGATTCCTTCGCCTGGTGGTTGAGCACAGAATCTGAAGCCACATTGCTGGGTTTATAGCTTAGCCTGCACTTAGTGACTGTGTGACTTTACCCAATTTACTTAACTTCCCAGCGCCTCAATTTTCTCATCTGCAAATGGGGATAGTAATTCCACTTTATAGGGCTGGAGCAAGCATTATGAGTCAATATATAGTAAATGCTTAGAACAGTGCCTGGCGTTAAGGCAAAATAAGTATTGGCTACATTATTACTTCTACTATGTCATTTACTGTAGTTACGAGAGAGGCTTTGCAATCAATTAAATTAGATGCATTGTATTTTTTTTTTTAAAGATTGGCACGTGAGCTAACATCTGTTGCCAGTCTTCTTTTTTTCTCCTTTTTCTCCCCAAAGCCCCCCAGTACATAGTCGTATATGCTAGTTGTGAGTCCCTCTGGTTGTGCTATGTGGGACGCCACCTCAGCATGGCTTGATGAGCGATGCCATGTCCGCACCCAGGATCCAAACCAGTGAAACCCTAGGTTTCCCTAGCAGAGCGCGCGAACTTAACCACTTGGCCATGGGGCCGGCCCCGGATGCATTATCTTGAAGTCAGAACTGTATCTAAACCCTCACTCTCTCACTGACTAGCTAGAAAGTCTTGGTTTAATCAGTTAGCTGAGCCACAAGCTTTCTTATCTGTAAAGCAGGCATGATTGCCTTATGGGATCTTTATGAGGATTAGAGAAAATAAAAAATCACCTGGTATACAGCTAGTGCTCAATATATTTATGGAACTCATAGTGATGGTGCAGGGAAGCACCTTCCTTTACTTACTGGGAATCTGAAGATGTAACAATGTTTCCAGAGGAGTATCAGGCTGCATAAGCTGGCACTAGTGGCAGTCCTTGGCAGGACACTACCACTGAGGACACCGGCTCGTCACTGACTGGAGGGATGTGGCTTGTCAATCATCACATTATGCACTTTGACTTCCACACTGAGTCAATCTCCTGCCTCCAGTCACTAGCAAAACAGAAAGTGAGATGCTGTTGCCTGGCATCCTCTCCTCTTTATTCACTGTAGCCCTCAATAATTCCACAGCTACCGTGGGTGTAGCACTGGTGCCTTTTATGATGGACAAAGCCATGATTCCTTTTCAGTATACAATTTTCCTCTACCTGAGATTTTTCCCCTCCTAAAAATTTCTAGTAAATTTGCGAGACCCAAAGAACCCCAGAGACTGAATCTCCAAATGAGTTTGTCAAAATGTGTGTCTCTCAAAGTATTAATCAAAATACTTTTGCAACTGCTCTCACAATCTGTAGCAAATAAAAAGGACAATCATAATAATATAGCAACTAAAGTTTATTGAACACCTCTATGCCCAGCACAGTGCCAAGGACATACGTATGTTCTCTCATTTCATGTTTATGACAGTAGTAGTGTTATTCCTATATGACAGAATAACACACTAAGGCCCAGAAAAGTTAAGTGATACGCCCCACGTCACACAGCTAATATATATGTATATTAAGATATTTAACAGTAGAGGAAAAACTTGAAGAGGCAGATAGATCTTTTACTTTGTTCCAGAAGAATGAACACATATGGACATTGAACTTTGACAGCCCTACCGGAGCCCCACACAGCTCTCTTGAACCCAGAGCTGTCTGTCGGCAATCAGGTCAGGCAAGCTCAGCTACATGGTTGTGGGGCCTCGTGTAAAATGAAAACGAAGGCCCTTGGCAGGGGCAGGGGATCAATCCCCCCTTCCCACAGGTGACAGCCCCAACCTGCAGTGGACAGGCCTCCCCCCAATGGATTGCCATTGCCACACGGGGACGTGCTTGGTATCTGTTGTGGGTGAGGCTTCTCACCAAGTCGCCCATGAAACACACAGTGGCGCTGACAGCCCAAGGTGGCAACAGTAACTTCCTCGCCCTGCCTTGAAATACTGCAGGGCACACGCTGTACCCTGACCCTCTCCTTGCCTGTACCCAGGTCCCAGACAGGGACAGAGGCTGATGATGGACGGCAACCCTGTCACTGCCCCAGGCAAGGCTGGGGAGGGAAGATTAGGCTGGCTGGGGTACCTGAGGCAGGAGCAGGTGGCTGAGATCCTGTCCTGGGGAGACAGGAGGACGTGAAACGTGGGACCACAGACCATGTGTGAGCCGAGGCTCCAAGCCTTCTGCACGTGCTCCGTTGTCCTGACAGACTTTACTACAAAACACAGATTCAAGGATAAAATTAAGAACTTCAAGACAGCAAGTTCAGAGCTTTAAACACTGAGCACTGCCCTTCAGCCCGTGGAACTGCACTGACCGCAGGCCATGCAGCCAGCACTGAGGTTAGGTCTCGCCTGCTCTTGACAGTCTGAGGGCAGTCACGACAAGGGGAAATTGTTCTTTCTGAGTCTAATCAGTCGAATGAGGACCAGTTTTCCTTTGGTTTTTTAATGCTTTTTTGGTGAGGAAGATTGGCCCTGAGCTAACATCTGTTGCCAATCTTCCTTTTTTTCTTTCTTTTTTTTTTCCTCCTCAAAGCCCCAGTACATAGTTGTATATCCTAGTTGTAAGTCTTTCTAATTCTTCCATGTGGGATGGCGCCACAGCATGACTTGATGAGTGGTGTGTAGGTCCGCACCTAGGATCCCAACTGGTGAGCCCCAGGCTGCCTAACCGGAACATGTGAACTTAACCACTCAGCCACAGGGCCAGCCCCCGCAGTTTTCCTTTTTATTACAACCAAATATTTAACAAGTGAGCGTCCCCATTCTTCATCCAGATACAATGAGCATTCTGTCCACTTTAAAATTT